CACCTTAAGCATGGTTTGATTGCTTGCAGAAACAAGAGCTCTTTCAAGCTCAATCAGATCACACACTGTTTTACAAACATAGAGGTACGAAAGTCACAATTCTCATTGTTTATGTTGATGATATTGTTCTTACTGGAAATGGCGAAGATGAGATTATAAGACTGAAAAAAGGGCTGTCCTCTGAATTTGAGATGAAGGATCTCGGGAATTTGAGGTACTTTTTGGGATGGAAATTGCCAGAAACAAGTCTGGAATATCCATATCTCAAAGAAAATATGTACTCAACTTATTGAATGAAACGTGAATGCTAGGATGTAAGCCGGTAGATACCCCAATGGATCCTAACAAGAAATTAGGAACGGAAGCTTCTAGTAGTCCTGTGGACAGGGGAGATTTCAGAGGTTAGTTAGGAGATTAATTTACCTTTCTCATACTCGGTCGGACATTGGATTTGCTATGAGCTGCATAAGTCAGTTTATGCATGATCCTACCGAGGAACACATGGAAGCTGTCTTGAGGGTTCTAAGGTATTTAAAGGGCACTCTAGGAAGAGGATTATTCTTGAGGAAAAGTGAATCAAGAAGCACTGAGGCCTACACAGATGCAGATTGGGCTGGTTCCGTGAGTGATATACAGTCTACATCAGGCTATTGCACTTTAGTGTGGGGAAATTTAGTGACTTGGAGAAGTAAGAAACAAACCGTCGTGGCTCAAAATAGCGCTGAAGCAGAACTACGATCACTTACACATAGAGTATGCGAGCTCCTGTGGTTAAGGAAGTTATTGGGAGAACTAAAGATGAAAGTACTGGTTCCTTTGAAGCTCTACTGTGACAATAAGGCCGCAATCAACATCTCTTATAATCCAGTTCATCATGACAAAACTAAACACGTTGAGGTGGATCACCATTTCATTAAGGAAAAGATTGAAGATGGAACGATATGTGTTACATATGTCCCAACATCAGAGTAAGTAGCGGATCTTCTAACTAAGGGTCTTGGAAGACCACTCTTTGAAAAGTTAGTAGACAAGCTCGGGATGTACAACCTGTACTACCAAGCTTGAGGGGGAGTGTTAGCGGATAAAGTTAGAATATCCGTGTATATTGGGTTGAAAAGTTGTTGTATTTGTAAGCCTTTTTATCTCTTAGTTTTTAGGAAGTTAGGTGGTAGGCTAGACTAGTTATCCTAGGCTATATAAAGTGTATCCACCCTGTAAATTAATTAAGTTTTCTGATTAATAAACGGAAGTGTTAAGAGTTAAGACTGTTTTTCTCCTCCATTTAGCTTTTAATATTATAATTAATAATCGCGTGTAATGCACTATAATAGATAATAATATTAGAATTATTAGTATAATTCTGGTATTATTTGTTAAAATATTACAACTATATTATATTATATAATATTATATATATATATTATATTGTAATATTATTATATATTATATTATATAAGAGTTAAGACTGTTTTTCTCCTCCATTTAGCTTTTAATATTATAATTAATAATCGCGTGTAATGCACTATAATAGATAATAATATTAGAATTATTAGTATAATTCTGGTATTATTTGTTAAAATATTACAACTATATTATATTATATAATATTATATATATATATTATATTGTAATATTATTATATATTATATTATAAGATATAATTACGTTATAATATATTATATATTATTATAAAATATTAAATAAAAATATTATAATTTATAACTATATTATAAATTAATTATTATATTATTATAACTATATTATATTATAATATTTTTTATTATATATTATATTATATTATATTATATAACTACTATATAATATATTTTAATTATATTATAATATTGAAGGGTAATTATGAAATCTCCCATTTGTGTCTCAAATCAAAACCAGATCGAACCAAGAGTGATTTCAAAGAGTTTTCAACGTCAAGAGAATGATTCGATGTAAGATTACTGAAAGAACCTCTCTTGAATCTATGTTTTTCGGATTTCAAAATTTATTTTTGGTTCAAAACGGATTTTGATGATTTTGAGTAAGAGTAGAAATTGGAGATCTTGGGTTCTTTGGACTTGTTTTAGGACCTAGAACCCGGATCTAGTGGTTTCCCTTTGAAATATTTGGATTTGGGACTGGATTTGCAGGTTTTTGGACTGATTT